CACAAAAGCGTAACATCTTCACCTCAAGATTTGACTCACAAGTACCAAGCATTATTCACAACTCACCCACTTACTCTAATATAGAGGTCACTGACATTACCTTTCCTTCATGAATCAAGTGCCCTCACACAACAAAAGAGAGTAGTTCCACACAATAAAATTTAAGAACACTTAGGAACTCAAGATAGAAAAAATTCACTCACTCTCAGAAATAACATTCATATGCCACAAAAGATGTACCATAAGCTTGCCCGTAGTGTACTACTCCACTAATCGAGCTCATTCAATCTAGGATCAATTAGGACTTTATTTGATTGTAATGTAGGCTCGGGACGGGTAGGATATATTTAGATATAAGAATGACTACACCTCCTTAAGCACTTTAATACATACATTTTAACATTTAAACCCCATACTTATGTCAAACCAAAATTTCACCTTCACATCAATGTAAATTACCCCATTCTTCTTTAAGCACACTTACTTCAAGAGCCACCACTTATCAAGGATTTTTTTTTTTTCATAACAATCCAACTATATTTTTTTTCAATTCAAGTGGCTCTTCCTTTTTCAAAACAGTGCACCTTTCTCCTTATTCAATTAGTTCCACTCAAAAGCCAAACCAACCACCCCACACTTTAACTTTTACAAAGTTCATAACAATTCAAGTGCTCATGAGAGGTGAAAAGGTTCAAATAGATGGTTAATTCAAACAAATGGGTAAGGCTTGTAATCTGGTTGCCAAAGAAAAAGGATTATAGGCTCAAAGAGGTTAACTACGATACATAACAATTAAGTGGGTAAAATATACTTATCTGGCTCAACAAAAAAATGCCTATATCACTTCCTAGACTGAACAAAACTACTATTTCACTTTGCAAACAGACGGGGCATGTTCTAGGCATCAAATGCAATGCACAGAATAACACCAAACCTCACACACACATGGCACATAACTCACTCAGGATTGGATTCATCAAGACACTCTAGTCAAAGCAGTTAAGCAAATTTAAAATCATACAATTTAAGGTACTTATACAAGAGTCAAAAACTGAGCCTAAGCGTCACAACCAAAGTACTCACTATTCTCAAGGCATAACCAAGTCAAGAGATATTGCTTTAATTCAAACACAACACAATGGCTCCTATTCCTGAAAAAAAAAACTAACTACACCCGGTTCAAATAAAACCCTTGAAAAAGAACCGCGGCACAAAGAAAAACCAAGGGGGAATTGCTACACTACCTAACAAAAGAAAATCTCTTTTTATTTTTTTAGACTTAAATCCCTCAAGAAAATTGTCTAATAGATCCATCGTCGGGAAAAGTCCAATCTTTTTAAAAAAAATTATTATTTAATTAAACTAACACAACTAAAATAGCATAGAAAGTCACCCAGACAATCTCCTCACCCCACACTTAAAATTGTGCATTGTCCCCAATGCACACCATAACTAATAAAAAGGGTAAAAGAGACTCCCTAGTAGGCCAAAGGCCGAAGCACTAACAACTCATACTCAGACTTCTCCCAAGCTTGGTCCTTTGTGCGGGTACCTCACACTTAGTTCCAGCCATTTGGTTTGCTTTTGCATCCTTCCAATACCTTTGCTTTCCATTCTCCTAAAAAAATAAAAAATTGACACTACAAAAATAATACAATTAAAAAAAAATAAAGTAATAAAGCTGGGTTGCCTCCCAACAAGCGCTTGATTTAACGTCGCGGCACGACGCGAATCACTTTTTGCCTCCACCTCGAGCTTATGAATTGAACCCCAAGTTTTGCTTCAAGCTTATGATTATGCTCTTGGGGCGGTACAAATTCTTGCGAGCCAAAAATTAGATAAAATCTTATGCACTTGTTGGCTCTCGACCGAGGAGTGTCACCTTGCCTAGACGGCCTTGAGAAATCCAAAATATAAGGCTCATCTACCTCTTCCTTGGACTCCTTTTTATGCTCATAAGGGTGAATTTCCATTTCACCGTCTGAACATAATGTAGAGAAGTGTTTGGAATGAGGCCCAACGCGCTCAAATACATGAACTTCAAGATTTTTAACCTCCTCAACACCAATCACACTAGAGTCAACTAAATTTGTATCTTCAACGTCCTTGGTTGACTCTAGTATTACTTCTTCAACATTGACATCCTCAAATTCTAGTTGGCTAGGTTGTTGATGTTCTACTCTGACCTCCCCAATTAACACCTCAAATTCATGCTCTTCTTGGCTACTATCCTCAATATTGGCTTGTTGAGCATTAAAAGCTCCAACACTTGACTCAATTGAGCCTCCAACTTGCGAATAGTTGCCTCTTGCCTTTCTATGTGCAATTGTTTCTCATTGTTTTGTTCCAGAAGGCACTTTAGCATATCCTGAATTTCTTTCAGGTCCGCATTCCCAGGTTCTTTGTTCCTATTAACTTCACAAGAAAAGGTAGAACCATCATAGTAAGGGGTTGGGGGAAAATAAGAAATATAAGCACAACCATGAAGGTGACCATTTTTACCACCACACACATCACACACATTCCACAAATAAGATTGAGTTGGTGCACATAACTCGCTCTTAGGAACGTTTTGAAAATTTTGCCACGAATGGTTTCCTTCACAATATGTATGGAGATCGATAGTAGAATTATCTACACCTAAATTCCCATAATTCCAAGATGTCATGTTTCTCAAATCAACAGTTATAAAAAAATACAAAAAAATAAAAAAATAAAACAAACTAAAAGTTCAAACTTGAACCCTAGCAATATACAGCTACAACTACACCGTTAGTTCCCCGGCAACTGCGCCAAAATTTGATCACGCCCAACTCTAGTCCCAAAAAGGATAAGCGGTCGCTGCAAATATAATCCGGTCTAAAAGTCCGGAGTCGAATCCCACAGAGAACTAGGGCTTAGCTGTATCTGTTTAATATCACTAAAAAGACAAGATTGAAAATAAATAAACAGCTAAAAACTAACTATGCTTGAATTGTAAACAATTGGAATAAAGATCTAAGGTAATGGTTTCCCCCGTTGTTGATTCCCTTGGTTATATATTTGTCACGACCCAACCCCGGTCGTGATGGCGCCCAACACACTGCTAGGCAAGCCCGACCATTTACACAACCTTAGCCAATTAACCTCGATGAACAAATAAATAATCACTAATAAAATACCAATTTAAGTGCGGAATCCCTGAAATAATCTCTAATATTCGGAAACCCCAAAATAAAATACTAGTCAGCAAACTTATACTACATTCTATCCAAAGCTTAACTACAATTTTATCTTCTTGCCTTTTGATTTCATTATTATTGTGCCCGGAGCCATTGTGTTTCTGCTATTTCGTCTCCATCTCACGGTTATTGCATATTTCTTCAATTATCTTATTATTTCAGGATCAAGTTAATTCACTTGTCTACAAACCACGTATTAATTCAACTGTACCGTTTTACAGTTAAATAGTTTGGCGTCCACCGTGGGGTCTAGACAGCCGTGCAATTAAATTGATCCTTGCCATTTTTAATAACATGTTTTGATTATTTTGTCTTAGAAAAAATCATAAGAAATGACAGATAACAGTGTTAACAACACGCACAATCCCGAGATTCAAGGGGATCAGCCTTATTTCGAAGACTCAATCAGTGACACCCACTACGAGGGGAACGATGCTACACCGGTGCATGACAAGCAATATCCTAGACATGTTCGGGAGACAACTCCCGATGACGCTGAGGAAGAACACACCGTTGACGCGGTAAAGGTCTTGCAAGAGCAACAAACAATCGTTCTAGACCACCTCACGCGACAGGATAAAGTTATGACGGAGTTGAAGCAAGCGCTGTTGGGGGTTTCAAATAATGCGAATAGACGAGAGCTGGTTCCTCCCGGCGCTCCCGCAAATCAAACAACACAGAGGGTTGACAACAACACCCCGAGGGGCGAAGTTGGCTCCGATAGGGCTGGGGGAAGCAGATCTGGTCCCAATAAAGAAAACGATCCCTTCAAAAATGAACTTTTATGGTTTATAAGGGAAGTGAATGCCCACATGGACCAAATCCCGGGCGCATCACCGGTGCCGAAAGGACCGGACTCAAAGAAGTATAATCAATTGCCATACAAGCCAAGTGTAGCCCCAGAACTAATTCCAAAGTGGTTTAAAATTCCTGACGTGCCAAAGTATGATGGAACTTTAGACCCTCAGGAGCATATTACCACCTACACAACGGCAGTGAAGGGAAATGATTTAGCTCCTCACGAAATTGAATCCGTTTTGCTGAAGAAATTCGGAGAGAATCTCACGAGGGGAGCCTTGACGTGGTATTCACTGTTACCCGAGCATTCCATAGACTCCTTTGAGATGATCGCAGATTCTTTCATCAAGGATCATGTCGAGGCCAGAAAAGTTCAGGCCCGAAAGGCCGACATATTCAGGATTGCACAATGAGAATCCGAGTTGCTACGAGAGTTTGTTACCCGATTCCAAAAAGAGAGAATGCTGCTCTCAGCTGTCCCGGATGAATGGGCAGCTGAAGAAGGACTGAATCCGAGAAGTTCAGATGCTTCACGGAAATTGAAGGAAAGACTGCTCGAGTCTCAAGCAACAACTTGGGCGGATGTCCACAACCGGTATGAATCAAAGATAAGGATCGAAGAAGATCAAGTTGGCTTTCCAACGTCGACCAAAGGACAGGAGAAGAACAGAGAAAAATCAAAAGACAATTTCGACACGGACAGACGACTTTTGAGGGGCCGGTTTTGCCCTACGAACAGATCGAAGGCCGCGACATAGGCTTTCGGACAGCGGACAGGTTTGCCATCGACAGAAGGACTAATCGTAGTCGGAATAATAGATCACTATAGGTGTCACGCCCCAAGCTCGGGGAGCGCGACCGGCGCTCAACCGAGTGAACCCGGCCGAGCAAGCTTGTTAGACACTTTCTACCCAACTCACTTACGATCAAGAGAAGGCATGTTTTTCTTAATTAGACAATAGGAGATCATACAAGTACATTACTAAGCCACTTCATTAGTTACATCATTGTTAAGTTTCAAAATACATACACCTTACGATTTAGTGGAAGAAGAGTCCAACACACAACATAATCCATTGACCTTCCCAACACTCATATACAATCCACATAATGTCTACGGAGCCTCTAAGAAGATACAAAAGAGAGTGCTACAAAAGCACCGGCAACAAGGCCCCGGGTATACCTCAAAACATGATAAGAAGGTGAACAAAAGATACAAAAGGTACAGGACCCCGAAATGATGTGGGGCTCACCAAGTCAGCTGGAAAGAGGGTGCGCCACTAGCTGCGATCTGCACTGCCTGCTATGGAACCACCTACATCCATTTAAAGATGTAGCGCCCCCGGTAAAAGGGACGTTAGTACTGTCGAATAGTACTGATATGTAAATCTAAACACCAATCTTATTAGAATGAACAACGAAACAAAGGGGAAGCAGTCATGATGTACAACAAGAGCTTCAAACAATACTAAAACATCAAGTAAGGTTCACATAAGTTCTCGGTTCAATTTCCATCTTATTAGGTTGGTAATCTTAGTGCCATGTTCCACAATCCATACCACCGTGTTCCTACACGGCGTCCGATCTCGACCCGATCGGCTAGGTCATCTCATTTGAGACATCAACCATATCTACAATTCCAATCAATCATTTCCAGCACGGTTACCACCATGTATGTAGTATGGCGTCCGATCACGGCCCGATCGGCTAGGCCATCTCTCTTGAGACATCATTCTTTCAATCAATCATCTCACTTCATATTTCTTTCCCATCTTTCAATACATTGGCGCAAGTGGCCTCATTCATTAAGTTGTTCTTAGCACTTGGCCGTATTTTACAATTCATGTTTTCCTTTTTATACATTCAACGTTATTATCATATCAATAACAACAAGGTCTTTCATTCACGACTTGATTACACACGGGAGAAAAGGTCTTTCACACAATTTGACATAATAATCTTTATTCGAATTCGACTAGAAGTCTAAGCATTTGTTGCACATATTCCATATCTTTAACACATTACTAAATGACGAGATAACATGATGAAAGCACAGGAACACATATTTCACATGTTTCCTTCCACGCAAGCACATTTGGAATAGCAAGTTCTATACAATCAATTTGGGACTTACACCGATTTCATGAACACCAAGGTGGGGGGGGGGGAGTTCAATTCTAAGAAGAGGGGGTTTTAGCCATACATACCTCAATAGAGCTTTCCTTAAGTTCTACAATAAATTCCGGAACTCTTAGCACCTTCAATCTATTTTAGGAATGGCACAAGTTGATTCAAGAATTAGAAGGATAATCAAGATTCTAGCTCATTTGAGCACATTATCAAGCACTAGGTGTGCATTATGTTTTAAGACCTTTTTGTGAAAGATTCTATCAACCCACACCCCATCCTTTAGCATTTTTAACTCACATTCTTCCTACATTCTTTCACCACCCATGCATGCAAAACAAACAACCCTCAAGCCCAAGAACCATCTTGCTAATTACCCATTTTAGTAGAAATTTCGAAATTAAGAGCTAGGGCATAAATTCTTACCTTTAAGGTGAAGACTTAGGGAAACTTTACTTAACAATCTTCAAGGTTTTGTGCAAGAATTGAGGAATAACTAGGTGGAGATCACTCTCTCACTCTAGGACTCTTTATCTCACTCTAAGGCATCAGAAATATGCCCAAAATGAACCATAACATATGTTTTAACGACATGGGATCGGGTTTAAAATTTAGAAATATGGAGCCCCAATACCGATCTGCGTTCGCATACTGTGGGACTCTTTCTCTCACTCTAAGGCATCAGAAATATGCCCAAAATGAACCATAACATATGTTTTAACGACATGGGATCGAGTTTAAAATTTAGATATCTAGAGCCCCGACACAGATCTGCGGTCTCATATGCGACAGCATAACTGCTATGCGGTCCGCGGAATACGGCCCTCAGGGACTAAATTTTTTTGCCTCGGTCTGCGGCCATTATGCGGTCGCATAACGCGCCGCAGAACCTCCCTTCGCAAAAGTTCAAGAATGGTTATGCGGCCAAAGTGCGGCCCGCGTAATGGTTATACGGTCACACAATTGGCCGCGAAACGGACCTCAAAATTGGAAAAAAGGACTGCCTCACTCTGCGGCCAAAATGCGGCCCGCAGAGTGATTATACGGCCGCATAATTGGCCGGAGAAACACACACTTCTGCAAAACTTTTCCTTTAACTATATAACGTACTGTTCAATCCAAAAAAGTCTGAACCGCGACTCGCTTTTTCTACTATTATAACACATAAATCTAACTTGGCACCACGAAATTCCGGGTTTTAGGACGGGGCCTTACAATAGGATAAATAGGTGTCGGGGTCACGGGATCCTTCCTACCCCAAGCAATCAGAATACAATTTCAACGTTACCGTAATAGAGTTGGTGTCAACCATGAGAAACATCAAAGAAGCACGATTCCTAAAACCAATGATATCTGATCCCAGCCAGAGAGATCCCAACTTGTGGTGCGAATACCACGGGACGAATGGTCACCGGACTGGGGACTGTCGACAACTCCGGGAAGAAGTGGCAACACTGTTAAAGAATGGTCATCTCAGAGAATTCTTAGGTGACCGAGCTAAGAACAATTATGGTCGTAATCGGGACAATGCAAAACCCTCGAAAGCAGGAGAAGATCCCCCGCGCCAAACGATCAACATGATCTTAGGAGGGAACAAAATCAACAGAGTCACCTTCTCGGCAGCAAAAAAGATGAAAGTATCAATAACTCATAGCAAGAGGCTCCGAGAAGTCGCCGAAGACGATATCACTTTCACGGAGGAGGACGCAGACGGATTGCTGCTACCACATAATGACACACTGGTAATTTTTTATATGTGCTAGATTTTAAAATGTGTTCTAGTGGATCCAAGAAGTTCGGCTAACATCATACGGTGAAGAGTATTGGAGCAAGCTAAACTCACTAGAAGCATTATTCCGGCCACAAAACTCCTCGCCGGATTCAACCTCGTGAGCGTGACAACCCGATGAGAGATTTCTCTTCCCATAAACGTCGAATGGGTAATGAAAACAACCCTTTTCGAAGTGGTAGACGGTGATATGTGATATAATATTATTCTGGGAAGACCATGGTTGCATGAGATGAAAGTTGTACCCTCAACATATCATCAATTGTTGAAGTTTCCAACGCCCGAGGGGGTTAAACAAATAAGGGTGACCAACCGGCGGCAAGAGAGATGAATGCAATTTCTGTCTCCAGTAGCAAAGGAAAGGGACACGCGGCATAGCAACTACAGGAACCGACGCCTGCTCCCGAACTAGATGAAGTTGGCTCGGGGGCAGAAACATCGGAATATTATCAGGTGACAAGATATTTCCAGGGTCTTAAGGGATTTGAAAACAGGTATCCCGATGAAGGTAGCCATACATAAGTGAAGTATGGACCCCAACATACCTCCGGTAAGACAAAAGAAACTCCCTATTGTGGAAGTCAAGAATAAATTCGTCAAAGATGAGGTAACTAGCTTACTTAACATCGGGTCAATCCGAGAGGTAAAGTATCCCGACTGGCTAGCTAATGTAGTCGTAGTTCCTAAGAAGAACAACAAATTTCGCATGTGTGTAGATTAAAGATCTTAATAAGGCATGCCTGAAAGATTTGTTCCCACTGCCAAACATCGAGCAAATGATTGATGCCACGGCAGGGCACGAGTTAATGAGTTTCCTTGATACTTATTTTGGGTACAACCAAATTAAAATGAACCCGAAGGATTAGGAAAAGACTTCGTTTATAACAAACTTCGGTACATATTGCTACAATGTGATGTCCTTCGGGTTGAAAAACGCTGGAGCCACTTATCAGCGGCTCGTGAACAAGATGTTTGAAAAACAAATAGGAGAAACTATGGAAGTTTATATGGACGATATGCTCGTTAAGTCTTTGAATGCAGGTGATCACCTTAAGCATCTGCAAAAAACCTTTGATATCCTAAGGAAGCATCACATGAAGCTTAACCCCGAAAAATGCGCGTCCCGGTTCAGCTCCGGTAAGTTCCTGGGATTTTTGGTATCACAAAGGGGAATCGAGGTAAACCCCGACAAGATCAAAGCCATCAAAGATATCCTGGACCAACTGTCGAACGTGAAGGAAGTTCAAAGACTCACGGGGAATTGGCAACTCTGAGTAGGTTCACTTCCCGGTCATCAAAAAAATGTCATCATTTTTTCGCACTGCTAAAAAAAATTAATAACTTCGAATGGACCCGGGAGTGCTAGCAGGACTTGAGGGATTTGAAAAAGTACTTGTCAATTCCTCAATTACTTTCAAAACCAAAAGAAGGTGAAACATTGTTAGTCTACCTCGCAGTCTCGAAAGTTGCGGTGAGTGCAGTTTTAGTCCTAGAGGACGAAGGTACGCGATCTCCCATTTATTATGTTAGTAAAATTTTAACGGGAGCAGAAACTCGCTACCCACATTTGGAGAAATTGGCCTTAGCTCTAGTAGTCGTCGCTCGGAGGCTGAGGCCCTACTTCCAATGTCACCTGATAGCTGTGGTGACCACTTTCCCTTTGCAAAACATCCTATACAAACCCGAGCTCTCGAGTAGATTGGCCAAACGGGCTATTGAAATGAGTGAGTTAGACATAGAATATAAACCAAGGACTACAATTAAGTCGCATGTCTTGGCTGACTTAGCGGCCGATTTTACTGCCTTTGGCAAACAAAGAGGCAGTAATGGTGTAGGAATTAACATCAAGGGTTTGGACCTTATTTACAGATGGAGCTTCCCACGTAAAATGGTCCGGGCTTGGTATAGTATTAATCACCCCTTCGGGGGAAACCCTCAGGCAAGCCATCAGAACGGTTCCTTTAACTAACAATGAAGTAGAGTATGAAGCTTTGATTGCATGACTCGAACTGTCCCGGGGACTTGATTCCGAGGTCATCAAAATCAAATGCGACTCACAGATGGTGGTAAATTAGGTCTACGGGATCTTCGAAACCAAAGAGGAGCGCATGCAACAATACACGGTGAAGGTCCAAGCTCTGTTGGCTCGATTCCAGGAGTGGTCGATTACTCATATCCCGAGGAAGGTAACGGAGAAGCAGACGCATTGGTTAACCTCGGATCATCGACAGAAATTAAGGGATTGAAATCTGAGATGGTAGTACAACTGATGAAATCGGTCCTGGATACAGATGGTTATTATGAGGTAAATATGACTAATTTAGTCTAGGACTGGAGGAGTGAAATCATCGATTATCTCGAGCACGGAAAGTTACCCGAAGACCCCAAAGCATCCCAGGCGCTGTGCATTAAAGCGGTGCGATATAGCTTCAAGAGAGGCCAATTGTATAGAAAATCTTTTCAAGGCCCTCTGGCCCGATACTTAGGGGCATCCGAAGCTGATTACGTCATGCGAGAAGTCCACGAAGGGATATGCGGCAAGCATTCGGGCGCAGATTCCTTAGTACTGAAGTTGGTAAGGACAGGATATTATTGGCCCCGCGTGGAACAAGATGCAAAAGACTTCGTACGAAAATGTAATAAGTACCAACGCTACGCACCACTAGTGCATCGACCGGCAGAACCTTTCCATTCGTTTCTGTCCCCGTATCCATTCATGAAGTGGGGGATGGACATCGTCGGACCATTGCCACCGGCTCCCGGAAAGGTAAGATTTCTTTTAATTTTGACTGACTATTTCTCTAAGTGGGTAGAAGCAGGACCTTATCAGAAGACCGGCGAGTGCGAAGTGGTGGATTTCTTATGGAAAAATATAATTTGCAGGTTCGGAATACCAAAAGAGATAGAATGTGATAATGGGCCACAGTTTATCGGTGCAAAAGTCACAAAGTTCCTCGAAGACTTGAAAATAAAGAGGGTCACATCTTCAACTTATCATCCGAGCGCAAACGATCAAGCGGAGTCAACGAATAAAGTGATTATACAAAACCTCAAGAAGAGGTTGGAAGCGGCTAAAGGTAATTGGCCCGAGAAATTCCCTTTTGTTTTATGGGCATACCGAACAAAATATAAAAATAATGAAACATCGATTTACTAGAATCAAATATTTAATGAAAGGTTAAATTATGAATACTAAAGTGAAGTTGAATCTTTAGAATTAATAAGTTTATAAGATGACATCTAATATTTTGGAAACATTCCAAAATGTAAAGTGTTATATTGTTTGAGACCAAGTGAATATATAAATGAGAACAGTTAAAAAAAATTAGTATAAAATATATGAGTTTATTATATTTATGATAATTGACATAAATTGGTAGTAAGTCACCCCTACCGAAGTTAATGTTCTAAGGGGTTGTTTGGTTGCCGGTTAGAATTATGCAGGTATTCGTAATGTATAGATTAGTTATGTAGGAATTAGTTATGCAGGGTTTAGTTATTTTATTTTTTATCTCGTATAAAATAATACATAAATTGACTGATAATTTTTTTTTTTAATATGTGTAATTGTAAAATGATAATCAAGCAACGCACCTGATGTGCTGAATTTTATAACGAAACAACTAAAACGTAGTATAAGCTAGACTACATAACTAACTCTCTTTCTGACCAGCAACCAAACGACCCCTAAGTCCATCTGAGTCGGGGAATGTCTTCCTTTTCAATGTGAGTAAAAATTTTCCCTTGCAAACCGATAATCGTCAACAAACAGAAGCATCTATCTTCTCTTACGTAAACTTTGGCTTTTCGCAAAATGACTGGCACACATTTTTAAACTGATGAAAATTGCATGGTATAGGAGGAGGAGTTAGGCAGTCCTTGTTCGAGCGTTGTCTTTTTTTGGGCGACTCACTAGGTGACCAACCTAACTATTTTGACTCTTACTTCCACTACTTAAAAGCGAAGAGCCCCATTTGTTTAAAAGTTTCTTCAACTTGTTCACGTGTTTGCAAGACCAAGAGAAATTGAGAACCCACGCATCCCAAAAAGAGCCACGGATCCACAAAAGTTAAATGGTACCTTAAGAGATAAATACTTATTCGACTATCTGTACTGAATTAAGCAATTTAATTATAAAAATTATATAGTCAAACTTCTCTATAACAATCTTGTTCGTTCCGATATTTTTTGGCTATTATAGTGAAATGCTGTTATAGAAAATATATAGTTTCAATTTTTTTTAGCTTTTATAGTAAATGACTGTAATATAGAGATGGTATTAGAAATAGATCTGACTGTAATAGCAAATTTCGACAATATCTCAAAACAGCATAAATCAATCAAGCGGATATACCTCGAGTGCATGACAATTGACATGCCTTGAATATCGACAGAATCTGATATGCTGACTCATCCAGCATTTAGCAAATGGACCTTAAGATATGACTTTCAGATGCCTCTCCCGCACTGGTGCTCACTGTTCCAAATCAACTCAAATTCCTTAGCTGCACGAATATGAATTAGTCTAAAATGCAGATAGTGGATGAGAAATTCAAAAATAAAAAAAATCAACGACCTTGGATGTGTATCCCTAAACGGACTATACCATTCACTGGCTCTTTTCATAGCCTGTTTGGCCAAATTTTTAAAATAAACTTATTTTGAGAAATATTTTTTTTATAAGTGTTTTTCTCAGAAATACTTTTGGTGAGAAATAATTTATCTTTGATAAATTAATTTGAAGAATACTTCTGAGCTGTAATTAGTGTTCGATCAAGTTTTTAAAAAGTGATTCTAAATATATTTTTCTCAAAAATATTTTTGGAAAAAAACTACTCCCTCTGTTTCAATTTATGTGAACCTGTTTGACTAGGCACGGAGTTTAAGAAAAAGTGAAAACTTTTGAAATTTGTGGTACTAAACAAGTCAAAAAGGGGTACAGAGTATTTGTGTGGTTATAAAAGCTTCTCATTAAGGGTTAAATTGTAAGTTTAAGGTAAATTGTTTCCAAATTTAGAAAGGGTTCATTCTTTTTGGAACGGACCAAAAAGGAAATAGGTTCACATAAACTGGAACAGAGGGAATACTTTTTTCTATTTCTCCTCAAAAATACTTTTCTTCTTCTTCTAGAAGTTTAGCCAAATACTCCAACTTTAAAAAAAATATTTAATTTTATTTTGAATTTAGAAAAGTTTGACCAAACAGCCATAAGTCTTCCTATGTGACACATTAAAACTTATGAAAAAAGAAATGGAGGGAGTAACAAAATTTATACCCACTGTTTTCACAATACATCAGGCTGTGCTCGAGGAGCCTGCGCCTCTTCACATGAGCCGCTAATGAATCTCCATGTGAATTCACAAGTCATGTTTTGCCAAAAGATTCAGCCCCACCAAATTCTCTTTTTCCTATTTTCTATCTCACCCCACACACATTTTACACACAATTGACTCCGCCAATAGGGGGGCCCAACCACCGTCCCCTATCCCCTCCTCTATCTTTCCCCCTTTCCGTCTCAGATATTTCCACCTACTCAAACAACGTCCGTCGCATGGTCAATGATCACCGTCCTCACTTCTCCGATCATTACTCCGCCGTCCAAACCACCGGCCAATTCACCAACCTAGGTTTTTAAATAACACTCCCTCCGAGCTCAATTCTCCATGGACGGTGATAATTCAGTGGAGCTCTGCACTTCAATTCACGATATGGACGACTCGCAGCTAGTTGGAGCTCCCGTAGTGATGTCCACGGATGCTGAGGTTGCTGCTACTAAGTTGGCTGTGCAGGTGAAGACTTCGGTGGCGATGATCGGCTCCGTTGAGAAGCGGAAGCGAGGACGGCCGCCACGTGGAGCTGTGGCAAAAGTTCAGTCACCAAAGAGACAGCTACAGGAGGACGACGAGGGGGAAGATGTTTGCTTCATTTGTTTCGATGGTGGTTCTCTTGTCCTATGCGATCGCAAGTGAGTAAACCACGCGCTTTTCGGTATTCACTTAAATTAAGTTTCTAATTTTTGCTTCCTTTCTATTTTGAATCGTTTTGTTGAAGTTTACTTCAGTTTCAGCTAAAAAAAGTTGATATAGTAGCACTTCATAAATGGTAAATGTAAAAGTACTTTTTCTAATTTATTCCAAATTGCTTTCGTAATGGTTTGAGATTGAGAAATAGCTAATTGAATAGTTGATTGTATTACTGATTGTTACCGTAACTGTTAGGGGGTGTCCGAAGGCTTACCATCCATCTTGTATAAAACGAGACGAGGCATTTTTCCGATCCGACGCTAAGTGGACCTGCGGTATGTCCCTCTGCTTCTGCGATTGTTGTTCCCATCTCTATTTTTTTAATCTTGTTTTAATGATATGAGATTTTTCTTGATCTTTTATTGCACAACAATTGTGAATTTTGTTGTGATTGCGCAATTGCTGGTTTAGTTCATTCACAAGAGTGACTTAAATATCAGGCAAGGTCATGTAGATTTATGTTTGTTGGTAGATTTAATCTTGGAGAGGGTGCATTATAGGCTATAATTTCAGATCACTACTGCCTCTGGCATTTGTTTCAGTTATATGGATAATTACCATATAAAGTTTCACCTTGTGGATAAAGGTGACCGTGCTATTGGCCTATCACAGTTTCACCAGAAACACATAGATAAAGGCGCAGTTAAATTTCATGGCAGGTGATTGTACACAATAATAAAAATTATAAAAGACACTTCATTGTACCGCTATCTCATAGAATCTCTAAGGAGCGTGATGCTGAATCCTTCATACTACCTCTGCTTCTTAGCTCATCATAAGTTGGCTACACCGAACTGCATTACATCAATCCTTGAGGCAAAAGATCATATATTCTATTGTAAATAACATTAAAGTCAGTACTTATTTGTTACTTATCTTTAAATGAACACAATCTTTAAATGATGGTGTATAAGTTTTTTGACGATATATAACGATAAACACAATCTTTATCCTTAAAATCTTAAAGTGAATTGATAGCCATTTTTTTTTATTTTGCTATAGATGTAACAACTATTTTTCCATGGCGTTCTGAAAAGTCTTGGATGCCTATTTCATAGTATCTTTCGCTGGATAAGATATTGGAGTTATTATTGATATTGATTACTGGGCAAAAGTGGGTCAGCTGAATAGTAGTAGGTATTAGATATGGAAAGTTAAAGTGTAGTATCCTAACATAATGAGATTATTAAACGCTTCGACGGAACTACAGGAAAATTTTTACAGAGACACCAGCCCTGTCAAGCTACAACCCTGTTAAGTAAACCCTAAACCACGTCCCCTCCATACCCTTCAACGCCCTCTCTGGCTAACACGGGTTAAGAGACACTGTTTATGTTGCCATAAACAGGGTTTACTGCCTGGGCTCTATAGTCTCAACCTTAGAATCGTCGGGTGAAACAGGAAAACTAGCAACGAAACATGCTTAAGAGTAGCTTAGTGTGACCTAAGTTTAACACAGAAATATTTAGCCTATCATTTAAGCTAAATGAATAAACTAGTTTAAAATTAAAATACTTGAAATAAAAAATACCTAAGAGCCTTTTCTGATTTTTTATTCCAAATATAAAATTTTTATAAGAGGAGAATTACAAAGATGAAAATCTAGAGAGATGGAATTTTAGAGAGAGGGGAGAGCTGTTAGCCGAAGCCTGTCTCTAACTAAAAAATGAAGATCCTTATATAATGGATCTGCTTGTAAACAAACAAATTCTAAACAGTAAAATGGCCGACAAAATAATTACATTGTGGCCGACAAGATAAAAAGCAAAAGCCGACAAAATAATTACATAGAATTTCCACCATTTGCAGAACCAATTTGGTATTTGCTTGTTAAATAAATTTGGACATAATTTTATAAACCATGAATGTTTCCTATTAGGATTCTCATATAAAAAAGTTTTATTAAAACTTCCAGTATAATCCAGTATTGGGGTGGGGTGGATGAAGTGGAGGTTGACATCTGGAGTCCTATGTGACAAGAGAGTGCCACCGATACTCAAAGGTAAGTTTTACAAAGCGGTGGTTAGACCGGCCATGATGTATGGGGCAGAGTGTTGGCCTGTTAAGAACTCACATATCTAGAAGATGAAAGTAGCAGAAATGAGGATGTTGAGGTGGATGTGTGGGCACACTAGGATGAATAAGATTAGGAATGAAGATATTCGGGAGAAGATGGGCGTGGTTCCCATTGATGATAAGATGTGGGAAGCGAGGTTCAGATGGTTCGGACACGTACAAAGGAGAAGCCCAGATACTCCGGTAAGGAGGTGTGAGCGGCTGGCTTTGGAGGGCACGAGAAGAAGTAGAGGACGACCTAAAAAGTATTGGGGAGAGGTGATCAGGCAGGACATGGCGAGGCTTCAGATTTCCGAGGGTGGCCCTTGATAGGAAGCTGTGGAGGTCGAGTATTAAGGTTGTAGGTTAGGAGGTAGTTGAGTTTTTCCTTACTTCGTTCCTTTGTGAGGCTAGTCTGGTAAGGTTTTTGTCGACGTCAGTTAGTAGCAATGTTGCGTCTCACTACTCTTTCGTTTTCCATAGTGCCGTGTCTATGTACTGTCTATCGCTTTTTCTTTGCACCTACTTTCTCATTTTCATGATGAAATTTCCCTATGGTTTTATTGTAGGTACTGATATTGTCTCTTTTCGTCTTCTTGAGCCGAGGGTCTTTCGGAAACAGCCTCTCTACTCCCTCAGGGTAGGGGTAAACTGCGTATACACTAGCCTCCCTAGACCCCACTAGTGGGATTTACTTGGTCGTCGTCGTTGTTGTTGTTGTTGTCAGTATAATCCCAGTACTTAAACTTAACAGCAACTTAACATGTGAGTGTATCACCTAATCGAGGACATGACTAGCGATAGAAAGGTGTGGAGGTCGACGATTAAGGTGGTGGGTTGACTGGTAGTTGTGAGTTTCTCCTAGGGTTATCAGTAGTACTAGTAATATTCTTGTTGTCGGTTGAAAGATACTTTCTTCTTGTTTGTTATTATATCTGGTACTTAGTAGCAAGTTCAGTATTTTTGCTACTGGAAATTGCTGCTCCCTAATTTTTACTATTTGATGTTACATTTTTTTTATTCCGACTCTTACTAGAATTGAAATTGATACTATTTGATGCTACTATTTTCCCCCCTTTGCCTTATCGCCCTTTGTCTCCTCCTTGTTTCTTTCTTCCCCATGTTTCTTCTTCTTCTCCCTTCTCTTCCTTTCCTCACTTTCTTGAGCTGAGGGTCTATCGGAAACAGCGTCTCTACCTTCCCAGGTAGGGGTAAGGTCCGTGTACACATTACCCTCCCCAGATCCCACATGTGGGATTATACTGGGTATGTTGTTATTGTTGTTGTTATTGTAGCAACCTTCTGTTCAGGATGGATATATTCCCTTTTCTTTAAAGTACTAAGTCCCCATTTATCTGAGGCTAATACCTTTTTTATAATTGTTTTAGAGAAATTATAAATTCTCTTAGTATTGGCTGGATAGAAATGCTCAATCTCAGCTGATCCAGTCGACGAGAGTATTAACTCGTAATTCATCTTGTATTTATAAGCAGGAGTAGCGTATGGCGCTGCATCAAAATATCTGGCCATTAATTGCCATGGGTTGTCCTTCCATTTCAAGTCGGACTGTTCTAAAAGAATTATTAATTCTTTTATTTCTTTGCGGTTATAAACCTCAATACTTTCATGGTTTTCCTCTGTTAATGCTGAGGAATATGTTGGAGGACTATTATCCTCATCTTGCTTGGATTTTATAAAATGCATAAATTCCTTGTACTTCGGATGTTCTGTATTAATACCTGATGTTCTATTACTACTACTATTACTATTATTGTTACTATTACTATTATTATTACTATTATTATTATTACTATATTATTACTACTACTACTATTATTACTAGTATTACTAGTAATAACCAGGGTTTATTGTTAAAACTAGTAACTGCCTTGACTATATAGTTCCAACCTACAAAACCATCGGGGTGATACACTTAATAATAAAACATGCTTACGTATAGTCTAAGATGACTAAGTTTAACACTTAGATCTTTAGCCTATCATTTAGGCTAAACAATAATATAAATAATTAAGAAGAATAACAAAATTAAAGATACCTGAGACCGCCTGTTTGTGGCCAAATGACCTTTTCTGATTTATAATATGAAATTTTTACAAAGAGTATTTGTACAAGAAAGAAGTTAGAGAGAAGAGAGAGCGTTGGCTAAAGCCTGCCTCTCACTAAAGAAATCAGATCCTTATATAATGGATTGGTTCTAAAAAAAACAAAAATCTATCAGTACTATGGCCGGCATAATAATGTAGTCCGCCGACAAGATAAAAAACAAAAACTAAATTATTACAACTAGACAAACTACTTTATAAAAGTAGATTCTTCAATAATGGAGGGGTTCATTACTTTATTAATGTTTGTCTCTATCACCCCGATAATTGATCTGTGCCTTTAATAATTTATACTTTATTTTTCCCTTTGTTGTTTTTTCTCGCAGAAGATTCTTCTGCTCCTTCCTTCATCTTTGCCAGGAATTCTTCAATTTCTTCTAGACTAAGATTGTCAGTCTGGCTTCTTTGAGCTTCACCTGCTATACAGGTCTCTTCTTCTGAAGTATTACCTATGGAAGTCATTGATATATTATCGCTAACTTCAACCTCAAAATCTTGCTAAATCTTTCTTTATTTCCTCAAAATACGAGGCGAGGATTTCTTTTTTGGAGATTGCTCCTTTCTTCATTTGAGTTTTCTGGTAACTTGTTGGAATGGGCTCAATTCTTCCACTGCAACTTTTGCTACCTCTTGATTGGCATAAGTCTCAATTTTGGCCTTGATTTCCTCTATTAGTTCTTCGCCATAGATTTTGCCTTGTTGATCTGGTTGGAGTAATTTACTCCAGAATTTTGTATAAAAATTCTATTGAGACATGGGAATCCTTCTTCGGTATGACTAGTTTCCACATCCCATTTCATTATCCAAGGGATTGAAAATTCTATAAATAAAAGCATGGCTGCTATGCCATCATAAAAGATATTATCTTTTTGTAAGGAAATAATCTTTGGTGATATGTCTACCCATTGAGTATATAAACTCTTAAAAATTGGAGGAAGTATTTCCAATGGTGGACCGTATGATTTGCACCATTTAAAAAACCAATTTGGAAGGTTGTTCGAACATATTAGAACATAATTTAATAAACCATGAATGCTTCCTATTAGGATTCTCATAAAAGAAAGTTTTATTAAAACTCTCTACATAATAAGTCTTCCATATGAAGAAGACTTTTCTGAGGATAATATTCCCACTAAGGCTCGGCCTTGTCAAATGAACTCTGAATATCTGGAGTTATGCAAAAAAGATATTGATTCCTTACAGCAAAAGGGTTTAATAAGTCCAAGTGGTCTTGTACTGCTTTCTATGTTAATAAACACGCAGAACAGGAACGAGGGGTTCCTAGAATAGTCATAAATTATAAACCCCTTAATAAAGTTTTGAAATGGATTAGATATCCTATTCCTAATAAAAAAGATTTATTAGATAGATTACATGATGCCATAATATTTTCGAAATTTGATCTAAAATCAGATTATTGACAAATTCAGATATCTGAAACAGATAGATATAAAACTGCTTTTAATATCCCAATGGGTCAATATGAGTGGAATGTTATGCCCTTTGGTTTAAAAAACGCCCCCTCTGAATTTCAGAAAATTATGAATGATATTTTTATCCCTTACATTGACTTTATAATTGTCTATATAGATGATATCTTAGTATTTTTAAAAAATATTGAAACTCATTTTAAGCATTTAGATTTATTTAAAAAGATTATCATTCAGAATGGTTTAGTAATTTCTAAGCCAAAAATGTTTATTTTCCAAAATAATATAAGATTTATTGGTCATAACATAGAAAATGGTAGGATGATTCCTATTAATAGAAGTATTGAATTTGCTTCTAAATTCCCTGACATTATTACTGATAAAAATCAACTTCAAAGATTTTTAGGAAGTCTAAATTATATCTCTCCTTTTATAAAGGATTTAGCAAAAGATATTGCTCTTCTTTATGATAGGCTAAAGAAGAATCCTAAAGCATGGACTGATAGTCATACACAATCAGTCAAAAGAATTAAACAGAAGGTTAATAATCTTTCGTGTTTAACTCTCGCTAATCCAACTTGGGCAAAGGTAGTCGAAACTGATGCCTCAAACATTGGGTATGGAGGAGTACTAAAGCAATGCTCCCCAATTGATAAAGAAGAATATCTTGTTCAATTTTACTCGGGAAAATGGAATGACTCCCAAAAGAATTATGCTACTGTAGCTAAGGAAATCCCTATAGTAAAATGTGTTATGAAGTTTCAAACTGATTTATATAATCAGAAGTTTTTAATAAAAATGACTGCCAAGCAGCAAGGTTTATCTTTAATAAAAATTTCAAACATGATGTATCTAAACAAATGTTTGCAAGATGGCAAGCTTTATTAGCTCCATTTGATTTTGAAATAATTTATAAATAAAAATAGAAGAATTTTTAATAAAAATGAAAGAAGGAGAAGAAGAATCTTCTGCGAAAAAAGACAACAAGGGAAAATAAGGCATAAATTATTGAAGGCCCTACAAATAAATTATCAGGGTAATAAAGACAAGCTTTAATAAAGCAATGGACCCCTTCATTATTGAAGGGAATCTGCATTTATAAAGTAGTTTGTCCGGTTGTAATAATTTAGCTTTTTCTTTTTTGACTTTTATATATCACTTTTTATCTTGTCGGCATACCTACATAATTGTGTCAGCCATAGTATTGTTAGTCTTTTGTTCTTTTTAGGATCGATCCATTATATAAAGATCGTATCATTCTATAGAGAGGCAGGCTTTAGCCAACACTCTTCCTTCTCTCTAAATCCTCTCTCTTGTACAAAGCTATCTGTAAACTTGTAAGTTTTGAATAAAAAATCAGAAAAGGTCATTTGGCCACAAACCGGCGGTCTCAGGTATTTTAAATTTTGTTAAATTTTCTTATTATTTTTATTCCTGTTTAGCCTAAATGATAGGCTAATTATCTAAATATTATACCAAGGGGGCTACCGGATAGCTTCCAACGGGGCTTCAGGAAATAAATTACAAGAACACCAGCCCTGGCTAGTCATAGTCTCAACAGTAGACCCTAAATCACGGTCATCCTCACAACCGTTTCACGCCTATCCCTCGGCTTAACGGGTCAACTGAGGACCACCGGTTATGTTGCCATAACAAGGGCTTACTGTCAATATTATAAACTGCCGGGACTATATAGTTCCAACCCATAGCACCATTGGGCAGTATAACTTAATAACAAAACATGCTTACAAATAGCCTATGATGACTAAGTTTAACACTTAGATAATTAGCCTATCATTTAGGCTAAACAGGAATAAGAATAATAAGAAAATTTAACAAAATTTAAAATACCTGAGACCGCCGGTTTGTGGCCAAATGACCTTTTCTGATTTTTATTCAAAACATAAAAGTTTACCGATAGCTTTGTACAACAACAACGCAGTGAAATCCCACTAATGGGGTCTGGGGAGGGTAGTGTGTACGCAGACCTTACCTCTACCCCGAAGGGGTAGAGAGGCTGTTTCCGAAAGACCCTTGGCTCAAGAGAACAAAAGGACAAAAGCAGAGAATATTAATATCACCACAGAAATAATAAGAAAAAATATGAACATGGAATCCAGAAGAAAGATGCGAAGTAAAGCGATAGCTATTAAATACATCATGCACTGAATTAGTAAGACACAACAATGGCACTAGCTATCTTAGGTAAAAACCCTACCAGACTAGTCTCGCAAAGGTATAAGTAAGGCAAGACTCAACTACCTCCTAACCTACAACCTTAATACTCGACCTCCACAACTTCCTATCAAGTGTCATGTCCTCAGAAATTTGAAGCCTCGCCATATCATGTCTGATCACAAGAGAGAGGATTTAGAGAGAAGGATACGATCCTTATATAATGGATCGATCCTAAAAAGAACAAAAGACTAACAGTACTATGGCCGACACAATTATGTAGTCTGCCGACAAGATAAAAAGTGATATACAAAAGTCAAAAAAGAAAAAGCTAAATTATTACAACCGGACAAACTACTTTATAAAAGCAGACCCTTCAATAATGGAGGGGTCCATTGCTTTATTAAAGCTTGTCTTTATTACCCTGATAATTTATCTGTAGGGCCTTCAATAATTTATGCCTTGTCTTTTCCCTTGTTGTCTTTTTTCGCAGAAGATTCTTGTGCTCCTTCTTTCATTTTTATTAAAAGTTCTTCTATTTCGTCGAGACTGATATTTGCATTTTGGCTTCCCTGAGCTTCTCCTGCTATACAGGTCTCTTCTTCTGAAGTATTACCTATGGAAGTCATTGATACATCATCGCTAACTTCAACTTCCAAAATTTTTTGCGAAATCTTTCTTTATTTCTTCGAAGTATGATGCAAGAATTTCTTTCTTGGAGATTGCTCATTTCTTCATTTGTAATTTTCTGGTAACCTTTTGGAATGAGCTCAATTCTTGTACCTCAACCTCTGTTACCTCTTGATTTGCATAAGCCTCGATTTTGGCCTTGATCTCTTCTATTAATTCTTCTCCGTAGATCTTTCCTTGTTGATCTGGTTGGAGTAATTTACTCCAGAATTTTGTATAAACAATTCTATTGAGACATAGAAGTCCTTCTTCAGTGTGACCAATTTCTACATCCCATTTCATTATCCAAGGGATAGAAAAATCTATAAAGAAATACATGGCTGCTATGCCATCATAAAAGATATTATCTTTTTTAATGAAATAATCTTGGGTGATATATCTACCCATTAAGTATATAGACTCTTAAAAATTGGAGGAAGTATCTCTAAGGATGGACCATATGATTTCCACCATTTACAAAACCAATTTGGTATTTGTTGTTCAAACATATTAGAGCATAATTTAATAAACAATGAATGTTTCCTATTAGGATTTTCATAGAAAAAGGTTCTATTAAAACCATCTACATAGTCCCAGTAGTTAAATTGAATTGCGATTTTCTGTTCAGGATGAGTATATTCTCTTTCCTTCAAGGTACTAAGTCCCCATTCATCTGAGGCTAATACCTTTTTGATGACTATTTTAGAGAAACTATAAATTCTTTTAGTATTTGCAGGATAAAGATGCTGAATTTCAGCTGATCCAGTAGATGAGAGTATTATCTCATAATGCATCCTGTATTTATATGCAGGGGTAGCGTATGACGCTGTATCAAAATATCTTGTCATTAATTGCCATGGGTTATCCTTCCATTTGAGGTCGGATTGTTCTAGAAGAATTATTAATTCTTTCTTTTTCTTTCGGTTATAAACCTCTAGGTTCTCATGGCTTTCTTCTGTTATAGCTGAAGAATATGTTGGTGCATTCGGTGTATTACCTTCTCCTTTTCTGGATTTCATAAAATCCATGAAGCATTTGACAATGGATGTTCCGTATTAACACCTTAGCAGCTACTAGTTGTTGATTTCCGATTTGGGCGAGAATATTATTACCTCTGCCATAGGAAGATGTCCTTCCTCTTCCTCTGCCTCGAGGAGGCTTGTATTCGGGCCTCATGTCCTGTGTCATTTCAAAAGAACTTATTAGTTCTCTAGTGAGAAAATCAGGAAGAGGACGAGCATTATCTGATCCTTTTTTATAAATTATTTCAAAATCAAATGGAGCTAATACAACTTGCCATCTTGCAAACATGTGTTTAGATACATCATGTTTGAAATCTTTATTAAAGATAAAACCTTGCTGCTTGGTTGTCAGTTTTATTAAAAACTTCTAATTATATAAATCAGTTTGAAACTTCATAACACATTTTACTATAGCAAGGATTTCCTTAGCTACAGTAGCATAATTCTTTTGGGAGTAGAAGACCTTGGGGATTATTACTACTTTACAAGAGTGGGCTGCTCTAGTAGTGAGCACCCTCCACTTCCAACCAAGAGGTTGTGAGTTTGAGTCACCCCAAGAGCAAGGTGGGGAGTTCTTGGAGGGAGGGATGCCGAGGTCTATCGGAAACAGCCCCTCTACCCCAGGGTAGGGGTAAGGTCTGGGAACAAACTACCCTCCCTAGAGCCCACTAGTGGGATTATACTTGGTTGTTGTTGTATTATTATTATTATTATTATTATT